TTTTGAAGTATGATGAGTGTTCTGGTTATTAAGGTTATTAAAACTTAATTATAGATTCTATACAGCTTTCTCAGTCCTTTTAGAACCATCTACAGCTCAGTTCATCACCCTGAGCTCATCTATACATTTCTTCATTTTTATTTAAAGCGTCAAATTCTCCTACTAATTATTTGAAATAACTGGAAATTTTTCGTATTAGAAAATAATTTTATATACTTTCCTGCAGCCAAATTGGTTTTGTATTAACATTGTTTCCAAACTTTTGAACAGCAGTGTATGTGTGTGTGTGTGTGTGTGTGTGTGTGTGTTTATTTTGGTCTCACAGCTGGGTAAGTGAACCATCAGACTGAGATAAAACATATGAGGCTGCCTTTCTCCCTGATGCTGCTCTTTTACTCTGGCCTTTTCTCTGCCTGCGCACTTCTCTTTCTCCTCCCTCTCTCTCTCTCTCTCTCTCTCTCTCTCCCTCTCCCTCTCTCTGATTGACAACCAGCCACAGGGGCTTGTGGGACATGCGGTCCTGTGCCTGCTCCCCGAGGCCAGCACAAAAATCACCAAGAGCTTTGATCGCCACTTCAAACATAGACACTCTCTCTCGTCCCCTCTCTTCCTTTCTCTCTCTCTCTGACTCTCCTGCTGTAGAGGAGACAGAAGGAGGGAAATGTTTGATTCCATTGTCTGGTCTGTCACTTTCTTTGAGCCTTGACGCTCGCCGTAGTCCATCGAGGGGCCTGCGGGATCTACAGGTGTTCGGTCCACCGCCATATTTCTCCAAGGAGATCAGTTTTCTTGACAGAGCCAGGTGCTGTGGTGCAGGGCAGCACAGCGGGAGCACTCACACTGCCAATCAAAAGTTTGGGAACATGACACGACTGAGGCTTTGGGGCAGAATGCATAAGCTGGTTTATTGCGGTTTATATAAAAAAAAAAACCAACAGAAAATAAACAGGAAAATAATATTGATCATGATGTCATCATTTCTATAGCACCTTATTTTTCAAATAAAAGTAAAGTTTAAAGTGCTTCATAAATAAAGTGCTGCATAAATATACACACAAAAAGTTGGGATGCTGTGCAAAATGTAAATCAAAACAGAATGTGATGATGTGAAAATAGTGCAAAGACAACATATCAAATGTAGACAATTAGATTTTTTTATTTGTTTGTTTTTTTGAAAAATATAGGCCCATTTTCAATTTGATGCCAGGAACACATTTCAAAATAACTGGGACAGGGGGCAAAAAAAAGACTGGCAAAGTTGTGTAAAAACATTTCACAACTAGTTGGGTTAATTGGCAGCAAGTCAGTAAGATGATTGGGTACAAAAAGAGCATCCTAGAGAGGCTGAGTCTTTCAGAAGTAAAGATGAGGAGGGGTTCACCACTCTGTGAAAGACTACACAAGCAAATAGTGCAACCATTCAAGAATAACATTTCTCAATGTAAAATAAGATCAAAGAACTTGGGGATTTCATCATCTACGGTGCATATCATCACTGTAGTATGTATGTAATGGACAAGACCAAAAACCCATACTGGATGGCTGTGATCTTCGGGTCCTCAGGTGGCACTGCATTAAAAACAGATATTCTGTGGTGGAAATCACTGCATGGGCTCAGAAACACCGCCGCCTTCTCTGGGCCCAAGCTTATTTAAGATGGACTGAGGCGAAGTGGAAAAGTGTCCTGTGGTCCGATGAATCAAAGTTTTAAATTCTTTTTGGAAATCATAGTGGGCGTGTCATCCAGTCTAAAGAGGAGAGGGACCACCCAGATTGTTATAAGCACTCAGTTCAAAATCCAGCATCTGAGATTGTATGGGGGTGCATTAGTGCACATGGCATGGGTGACCAGTAATGCTGAATGATATATGCAGGTTTTGGAACAATGTATGCTTCCATCCAGATGATATCTTTTTCAAGCAAGGCTTTGCTTATTTCAACTGTTTTATTTTAACATTTGACATGTTGTCTTTATACTGTTTCCAGTTAAATATAGGGTCGATGATTGGCACATTTTTGCATTCTGGTTTTATATACATTTTGCACAGTGTCCCAACTTCTTTGGAAACAGGGTTGTAGTATGTAAAAAAGAGTCTGAAGTAGTGTGTAAAAGTTTCAAAGTGTACCATTCTCTCCTTCATCACAGAGGAGGCAACTCACATTTTACCCATTTAAAATATGTTTTCAAATAGTTTTTTCAACAGTTTTTTGTGGCTTTATAAGGCTGGGATACAGGAACTCTGGTGTAATACAGTTTTCCCTCAAAACATTTGGCCAGTTAACATCAATAATTTTGTTGCACTCAGATTTGTATTTTATTAGGCTTACTGGCCTAAACAGTAATCTGATCAGACTGCGGGTGGTGGAGTGGGAGTGCAGGCGTACTGATTTGTGTGAAATTTTGTCATGAGTATGCTGTACATGGACAAAACAGGTATCACTTGCAAATGAGAAACGAGGCAGAATTTTAAACAGTGTTGTGCTGCAAAATCGGGTCATCGTCAAGGAATTAGAGTCAAGTTTCTATGTCCCTCGTAGAAAAGATAAAAAAAAAAAAAACTTTATAGTTGCCGGTCTAGAGTTTAATTTACTTATCACAGTCTTACCTTGCAGATGATACAACATCTTCAAAGACTTTCTGTTCTATGCTATAGCAGAACGCAAACTGTCTCTGCTCTCTCTCTCTCTCTGACGGCCTTTGATGATGTGTATATGTGTATTTAACTGTGTGAAAGAGACTGTTTAGCTGTTAAACTGTGAAGTGTAGTAAAAATAAAGTTTCTGATGCTGTATGAAGGTTTACTCTCTCTAGAGGTTGATACCTATACATATATATATATATATATATATATATATATATATATATATATATATATATATATATATATATATGGAGACTAAACTGCAAAAGCAGCCCGTTTTCAGTTCATTATTTTTGTGATGTCATAAAAACCAAGTCATTTACATATATACACCCATTAATTCAACATAAGTTTAGCCCCACACATTCACACTGGAGTGTTTCAGCCTGGACTGCTTGAAGTGAAGCACAGTACAGGGCAGCCAATCAGTAGAAAGTTAATTTATATATATATATATATATATATATCAGAGTGATTGAAAAATGGCCATGTGAAAAATTAACTTAACACAAACATTGTTAAGTGCACACTTTGTATTTTTTATTACTTATTTGTAGAGACAATTTTGTTGTTTAAAGATTTCCCATTACCATCATCAATTAATGTTTTATTATTATTCTTCTAGCCTTTACTAAACCTAGACTATGTAAAATTTGGGGAATGGGGACCTCTTTGGTGGAAAAGTGTAATTGCACGCAAGAACCTTCTGTAACGTCGGGTGTGCTTCGGACCCCTTGCTGAATGAATCGGATGATTGCGAGCGGATTAAAAGAGTATTCAACGACGGCTCAGTTGAAGCTTGAAGGACATGTTTTCTGATGATGTAAGAGAAATATCTACTATTGTCATCATAGTAGAATGATGAAGATCAATATAATGTTGATTTTGCATTCGAAATCCAAACATTAAGCAGGACCTTCTTTTTGAGCCTGTGTGTTTGACCTGAATACGTGAAGACGTATGATGTGGCCTGTAAAACTGAAAAACTCTCGCAAAATTCAACCCAACGCCTCTCGCTTTTGAAATTTAAGGCTTGTATTTTGCATTTTTTGTCCTGAGTCGTCTTCTTCCAATTATAATGGAAGAAATCATACACAGTGCTGCTTTAAACTACATATTGACTCACTGTCATATTTGGGAGCCACCAAGAAGGATTTTTCATAGGGCTAGGTGTCCTCAAACTTTTGGTGGGTAGAGTACCTGTAGGGAATGATCAAACTCCATTGAGTCCAGCCACAAATTTGATATTCTACTCAATATCTGCGCTGTGGCTCAGAATGTTGGGCTGCAGGCAAAGATGTGAAGAGGTGCGTCCTGAAAAAAAGACTTATTAAATGTCTGTTGAATCTCAAGTATGAGTTCCCCAAAAGAACCACAGAGCTGTCTCTCTCTCTCTCTCTCTCTCTCTCTCTCTCTCTCTCATTGCTGCAATGCTGACCACCAGCCTCACCTTTCCTCTTGTGCTGTCCCTCTCTCCATCCATCTTCACCCGTCCGTCCTGAGGTGGAATTGAAGTGACCTCTCACTCAGCGAGCTTAGTAGAGGAGCCACCATCTTTTATTTCATCTGCTTCATTTCATTGGCCTGCAATTCACACACAGACAGTTTAGAGTTTAGAGGTGGAAGCTCCAAATTCTCACAGCAGATTGTGCCCTTTCATAAATAATGTGTGTACATGTTCGTATCCGAGAAGCAGTTGTTTGGAAACTTAAATCTCATTCTCATAGTCTGATGCCGCAGCACAGAGACACCAAGGTCATATCTGTTTACACTAAGCTTGCATGCTGTTGTACTTAGAGGCCAAGGAACAGTCAGACAGCAGCTGTGTTCCCTTTATTACTGCGTCTATGTTAAGTTGTATATATTGATCTGCTTGCGAGGGAAGTTGGCCATTTTGCTGCCTATGTCCAGTCTGGGAGCAGCACAGTGTCACCAGCAGGGAGAAGTTGTCTTGGTGCTGTGTGGGGTGTTACGTATTTTGACAAACACCACAAGCAGAGCTACAATCCCATGATTAGAATCTACAGTAGGCCTGGGTGATCAGCCCTAATTAGCATCATTTCTAGTTAAAAATTATGATTATCGCTAATATCGCCAAAAAATAAATAAATAAGACATGTGGTCCGCGGCAGCTTTGACCTACTTATTAAATAATATAATACTGAGTAATCCAACATCTTTGAGAACTACTTCGGTTGTCATTATAATAAACGTTACTGCAAACACGTGCATTCACGAGCTGCTTCTGCTGCAGATCCGCAGCACTTTCTCCACATGATGCTACAGACTGAATCATAAAAGATAAGCTTTGATAAACATGTTTAATTTTACTTAGTGTTTGTGTATGCTTGTCTGCAGGCTCTTCTTACTATGATAACGTGCGGCCGCTGGCGTATCCAGACTCAGATGCTGTCCTCATCTGTTTTGACATCAGCAGGCCTGAAACTCTGGACAGCGTCCCAAAGAAGGTCTGACTCTTCATCAAAGTTCCTCTTCCTCTTCTTTTTACTTACTTTGTTCTCAAATGCGATCTATTTTACATATACATTATTTTCATTTATAAATCTGTTATTTATATATATATTTGCATAAATGAAGACGATTTAGAAGTTACACTTTACAATGATGATAAAAGCATGTCATTTTATATGAATTACTTTTCACTCATCGTTTAAACAAGTGGAGAAAATCTCTGGAAACTGCAGCTTCTACACTTTCAGTCTCTACCACATTTGTCAGTAGAAGAATAGACATATTATAATTTGAATTTGATGACAAGTGTGTACTTCATTTCCCTAAGAAGTGATTTCAAAATAATAGCTAATAGACAGATTTATTACGACAGTTTGAATTACTATATCAGATTTTCAGCGGGTCAAAAGTCACTTGGTCAGTATTTGATGGCATTGCCTTTTAACTGCTTAACTTGAATCAAATACTTGGGTTAGTCTACCACAAGCTTCCAACAATACTTTGCCGTACTTTTTGCCCGTTCTTCCGGACAGAACTGCCGTAACTCAGTCAGGTTTGTGGGCCTCCTCACTCAGACACACTTTTTCAGTTCAGACCACAAATTTTCTATGGCTTTATGATGGCCACTCCAATAATTTCACATGTTGTCTTCAAGCCATTTTGACACAACATTGGAGGAATGCTTAGCACTGCTTTTCTGCTGGAAGGCCCAGTTGTGACCAAGCTTTAACCTTCTATATAAACCTCCTTCCTTATGATGACATCTGTTTTCTGAAGTGCACCTGTCCCTTTTCCAGCAAAACACTTTTAACAGTTAACAGTTAGGATGGTGTTCTTTGGATTAAAAGCCTCACTCCTATTCCACCATACATAGCCCTGATCATTATGGCCAAAAAGTTCAGTTTGTTTCATCTGACCAAGGAACACTCCTCCAGAAGGCCAGGCCTTTATCCTGGTGTTCACATGCAAACTTCAGTCTGGCTTTTTCAGTCCAGTCTTGGACTTGGGCTTGTTCTCTTAATGATGGATGTAGATACTTTGGTACCTGATGCTTCCAACTCCTTCACCGGTTCCTTGTTTATTGTTTTGGGGTTCAGTTGAACCTTTCAGACCAAAGTTCCTTCAGCTTTGGGAGTAATTTGTGCCTTCTTCTTGAATGATGTCAGTGTTTTTATATTTGCATACAGCTGTTTGTAAAGATACTTGTTATACCATAAGTTGTTTGGAAATTGCCCCCAAAGAGGAACCGGACTTCTGGAGTTGCTTGAATTTTCCCATGGTTTCAAGGGAAAAAGGCACTGGTTCTAATAGTAGGCCCGTAAATACAGCCACAAGTGCACTCCTAATTACAACAATTGGTCAGTCAGAAGCTTCTAAAAGTCACTACATCAACTTCAGGAATGTTCCCAACTGTTTAAAGATACAGTCAATGTGGTATTTGTAAACTTCTGACCCAATGGAAATCTGATATAGCAAGTGAAAGCTGATACCTTAATTGACTTTCCAAAAGAAAAGTACAGCAAAACGAAATGTGTGGAGTTTAAAATGTGTGAAATGTTTGCATAATGTGTTTAGCCTAGATGTATGTAAACTTTTGTCAATAATAATAACAACTCCAGATTTCTAAGTGCATTCTATGATGCACATATAAGCTGGAACACAATGTTAGGCTGTTCTTGTGCATCACCATAGCTACAGATTTAAATGTGATAATTATAGGATCCCCTTACTAAATTCTTGTTAAAGGCAAACAAATAGTTGAATGAATATAAAGTCACCCTTTATTTTTTAGTTTTTCACTGGATACATAGGCCGTAAAAGGTTATTGAAATTAGCTTAGTGTGAAAAGCATGCTGTACATTCAGCTGGCCTGATAATTACACATTATTTTGAAAGGATAAAGCTGATTAAGGGCATTATCGTTGAGAGCAAGTACTCCATCTCATTGACGGAAACTATGAACTGTTTTTGTTTGTGATTGTGTGTTTGTGCATGTGTAGTGGATTAACTGAAAGTGCTGTTTTATGCTGGAAAAAGGTCAATAATTATGCGGCACACACAGGGTGTGAGACTGGTCCTGCGGGGTTTAAGGATGTGTGTGGTTTGGGGTGTGTGGTCTCCCATATCAGCCTTAAATGCAGTTGTGTAGGGGACATTCCCACGCTTTAAGAGCTTAATAGTTGTTTTGACGTGCTTTGTGCTTAAGACTGTTTGGTTGTGTAATGTGTTTCGTCTAAGAGTTGCTTCACCCAGCGTGCTGAGTCTCAGCCCACATGTCCTTACATCACCTCTGCTTCTAGAACTCCTCAATGCAGTCTACAGTTGCTCAACCTCAAAATACCTCTCCTCACACTGCATTTTGTAGGAGCACATTTTGTAGCTGCTGATTAAAAACTCATAAAACCCACTAAAACACCTAAAAATCCCTTTCCACGTTTTTCAAAATACAGTACCCAGAGGGTATTATATAATTTAACGATGATAATATCAACATATGGGACTATGTAGTGGCTAAAAAAAAAGTATCAGTCAAAACATACATTAGACAAACATGTCTAGCTTTAATGTATGCTAATGTAATCTGATTTAGTCCAAGTAATTCTGGACCATTTCTCTTGGTCCATTCATCACGAAATAAGGGCAGCTGGGCAACTGGCCATTTCAAATGGTGCAAAAAAAATGGATGGGATAGCAGCGATACTTATCTTTCAAGCTTCTAAGCAAAAGCTTTTAAATCAAAATAATTCATATCCAAAACTAAATTTAACATGATGAGGAAAAACACGACAATAGGTGTTTTGATGGGTCTAAAGGATTGAAAATGTTGTCATGGTTACCTTGGATGAACATTTATGAGTACCCATTTAATTTTTTGATTACATAATTACATCAAATTATATGTCATTTTCATATGTTTATTCACAATCTTTTTCTTTTTCATATTTTTTTGTTGTACAAATTACTGGCCTTGTGTGTCCAGATTTAAAATAGTAAATTAAGTGAACCCCCATTTTTAGCCATATGATAAGCCTTGTAATAAGCTCAGAAAACACATAGACTAAAGAAAAATGAAAATTTCACATACAGTGCAATAATAACTTACACAATGTAGATGTACATGCGAAAGTTATGAAACTATGCTGTAACTATCTAGACACAGAAAATTAGATTCAAATGCAAATACAAGGTATTCTGAATTTAAATATAAGGTATTCTGAATGTTAATTCTATTATGACTTCATTCTCAATGTTAAACATAGTACTAACATACTAACATCATATTAGTATAATTTTATACATGTATCTCTAACAAAATGTTTTTAAATTATTGATTTTGAACTTTTGAATGGTTGTGTGAATTCATTAGGTATATACAAGCCTTTGACTGGTACTGCACACCCTGCTGTCACCTCAAAGACTCAGTCGGCCATGTAGGCGGGGTTAAGAATGCGACAGGCCTGGAATGTCAAGGGATTCTGTGTTCTGACTGGAGCATGAGGGATGGTGTTAGGGGTCAAAGGTCATTTGGGATATTTTGATGGATGGATGAACACATTCAACTGCAGGGGAACAGTGGCATAACTGGCATAGCTGAGCCCGGGGGCTATAGAACCAGAGACAGTGGCGTTGTTTAGATGCCTTTGGTTGGTGCTGTGCTAGGTGAAAAGCCACTGAACAGGAGCAGGATAAAAGCTACTTTTGAGCAAAATGTCTGCATGCAGATTTCTTTGTCTCGGTTGGTTTCACGTTGTTGGAAAAATATATGCATGTGTGGCTATCACCATCTTTTCTGACCTTTAAAAAGCAATTCAGTCGTAAAGTGCTTTTTCCATTTACCATCTGAATTGTGTTTACCACATACCACCTTTGGCCAAATATATGATCAAAACTGCCAAGACTACTACAGTAATTTATGACTTGAGAGTAGAGTTTAAGTCTAAAGTTCCAGGAAGCCAGCTAGAGGGGTATAAAGCCCCGTAGCATTGGGCTGTGGGGCAGCGCAACTGTGTTTTCTAGAGTGATGGAGCTCCATCCAATATGTTTTGAGTGTTGAGTTTGTGATCCAGAACTCATCATCCAACATCAGTACCTGACCTCAGTAATGCTCTTGTGGCTGAATGCAGTCAAATTCTTGCAGCGATTTTCCAACATCTAGTCTAAAGCCTTCCCAGAACTAGCAGAAGCTTTTACTGCAAGCAAAGGGGGACAAACTCCCTATTAATAAGAATGTAATATTGCTCTGTATTTTTCTAATCCTCTTTCTGTCTGTATCAGTGGCAGGCTGAGGCTCAGGAGTACTGTCCTAATGCTAAGCTGGTGCTGGTGGGCTGTAAGCTCGATATGAGGACAGACGTCAGCACCTTACGAGAACTGTCCAAACAGCGCCTCATACCCGTCACACATGAGCAGGTGAGAACACACACACGCACAATCTCGAGAGGGAAATGAGAAGACAGCAGTACAAACTCAGAGAGAAGGGAGTGCAATAAGCAGGAAAAGGAAAGAAAGACTGGTGCAGAAAGTCTCACCTGCAATATTACTGTTTACACAGCTACAGCCAAAGGGCTCACCAGAGAGATCGCTCTCTCTCCCACTCACACACACACACACACACACACAGTCTGCTGAGTTGAGTCGCAGTGTGAGAGGAGTCACAGTGTGTGAGGAGTTGACAGACTGCAGTGTGAGAGTCTATTTGGAGGTTAAGAGTGTTTAATATTCATGCCTGGGATTTAGCAAAACCAAAGGAATAATAAAGCTACAGAAGACTTTGATGAACAAACGCAGCCTGATATCACAGGCTTTAGGCTTCTGTGTGTATGTGTGTGTATGTGTGTGTGCGCGTGTGTGTATGAAAGAGTGGGGGGAAAAAAAGACTTTAAAGAGCGCATATCCTAAATTTTTCTTGTAATCTAAGTTTTCACCTTAGGTCCACTTAGAACATTTGTGATTTTATGTACCAAAATCAATCAAGATTCATTTGAAAACTCCTCATAGACCACTTTCTGCAATTTTCTTTTTTGTCATGATATACATCAGTGGTTCCCACAGGTCTGAAATACACCTGTTGTGTGTTCGGGGGAGGGGGTGTTGCTCTAATATGCTAGAATATGTTCTAAACTTACTTCAGCATTCTTTATACTTGCATGTTTGATTTAGAATAAAAAAAGGAAGTAGTTATTTATTATCTTATAATTTTGTAATGTAACTTTTTTTTAATTGAGCAGCTGATATTGTGTCTCATGTTACATGAAATGTCATACGTGTAAAGGAGCTCTGATTGGCTGCCCTGTAATAAACCTCGTTCAAAAAGCAGTCCAGGCTGAAACACTACTTATAACTTCAGTTTGACTAGGCAGGCCTAAACTTCTGCAGGCTGAAAAGGTGGATATATGTAAATGAGTTGGCTCTCATGACATCACAATAACACTGAATTCAAAACCGCTTCATTTTCATATATGGCCTGTATGGACTGGGAGGCAGTGGTACGATTTTAAACTGTAAGAATGTTAACAAACTACACCAAACTCTTTTTTTAAGCAAGGAAAATCTGTTTTTTTCTATGATATGGGTTCTTTAAAGTGGAACAATCTTCCAGAAATCCACACACTTTAATCAGCTTTCTTCATGTTCGCATCCTGCTCAAAATCCCCAACATACTCTCCCTCACTCTCACACACGCACACACACACACACACACACACACACACACACACACAGTGCTGGATTTGTTTTCTTGTTCACTCAACCGAGTATATAAGTCATGACACCACACATACTGCTTATGACAACTGCATTCAGATGCATGATCTCGCTCTCTCCCTCTCTCTCTCTCACTCACCCATGAATGTTAAAAGAACAAAGATATGTATATAGAGCCCTGTGTAAGCTTCCTGCTACGAGGCTTATCAGCTCCACTGATGAGAGAGAGAGAGAGAGAGAGAGAGAGAGAGAGGGAGGAAAGAAGAGGAAAGGAGAGAGAGAGAGGGAGGAAAGGAGAGAGAGAGAGAGGAAAGGAGAGGAAAGGTGAGAGAGAGGTGGAAATAGTGGAGAGAAAGAATGTCAGTACAAGAGAGAGAGACAGAGAAATAGGAGATAGAGAGAGAGAGAGAGAGAGAGAGAGAGAGAGAGAGAGAGAGAGAGGGAAAAAGTGGAGAGAGAAAATGTCAGTACAAGAGAGAGAGACAGAGAAATAGGAGAGACAGAGCAAGAGAGAGAGAGAGGGAGGCAGAGAGAGAGAGAGAGAGAGATGATTTTATCAGCATTTTTAAGATGTCAGACCCAACATTGAGAGAGAAAGAGAGAGAGGAGAGAGGAGAGGAGAGGAAAGGAGAGGAAAGAAGAGGAAAGAAAAGGAGAGAGAGAGAGGGAAAAAGTGGAGACAGAAAATGTCAGTACAAGAGAGAGAGACAGAGAAATACGAGAGATAGAGCAAGAGAGAGAGAGAGAGAGAGAGAGAGAGAGAGAGAGAGAGAGAGAGATGATTTTATCAGCATTTTTAAGATGTCAGACCCAACACTGTTTGATGCCCACGTTCCCACAGGAGCACAGAGACCTCCGAGATCATTTACGAGCAGTTCTGTATATGAAGTTGTTAACTGTGTAAACAGTGAAGAGCACAGCTCAGTACTCAGACACAGCACATGACTGTTACTGTCTCTAAGTGACTGGGGGACAGTCAACTACTAAATGGAATGCATTAATTGTGTCCTTTTGCGGTCACCTACACAAAGAGGGCAAAATAGTCATTTCTATTTATATATGATGAATTGTTCAGCCCTAATGAAATACTAAGAGAAAAAGAAGGATATGAAAAAAGAGAGGGGTAGAGAGAGAGGTGAGGGAGGAGGTTTGAAAAGTGTGAATATTACATATAGATTTGGAAATATTTTATGTACTTGTGTCAGGTTCGGACAGAACTCAGACGCTCACAGACTAGACTGAAGTAAAACGACTTTATTAGCAAAATCAAAGTCAAACAGTACAAGGTCAAAAGCCTGATCGAGAAAACAGTAAACATAGGGGCAATCCAAAAAACAAAAGAGTCCATAAACCAGACGAGAAAGTCCAAACCAAAAATACAAACAATACATAAAGGGCTAGGCTACAGCAGGGTCAAAAATAAACAAAGCAAAGGTCAAAAATGGACAGACAAACTGGAAGGCTCGGTAATGCTCTGTGAGACAAAGACAGTAATTCACAATGACCTGATGAACTGAGGGGGTTTAAGTAGTGTGTTAAACAGGTGACCTGAATCAATAATCAGCTGAAGTGGAGCACTGGGGTGTCACGTGAGGGAGATCTGGGGTCATCTCGTGGGGCGTTCTGGGAAATGGAGTCTGAGAAGTGGTGACAGCGGGGTCGGAAGGAAGTGTGACAACTTATAAACAGATTTTATACATATTTAAAAATATAAACATTTGATTTCAATATTTTAAACTATACCAAGAAGTTATTAAACGAATAGTCTCAGACACATGAAGTTTATAAGCTCCTAAGCAAAATATCCTCATGTGTTTGCATAGCAATTTTTTTCCCACCACTGGGGGTTCTTGTTGTAGCTCCTTTCTGAAAATCTCTTGCTTCTACACGTCACTCAAAAATTATAGTCTGTAGTTGGTCATTTGCATGTTAGTCAAACAGCCCTTTCCTGCCAGAAAAGGCTATTCTTGTCCATGTTATGCAACAATACACACCAGTGAGACTATTAAATGATAAATAATATTCTGGAATTATCTATACATTTTTTTCAAGGTATCTGCCTTGAGATTTGGCCACTACATTCGAAATATACACACGCCAAGCCCTTCATTAGAACACAGATACACCTGCTCATTCGTGTACTTATCCAATCGGCCAATCACGTGGCAGCAGTGCAGTGCATAAAATCATGCAGAGAAGGACCAGCAGCTTCAGGTAAAGTTCACACCAACCATCAGAATGCAGAAAAAATGTGATCTCAGTGATTTTGCTTGTGGCATGATTGTTGGTGCCAGACAGGCTGGTTTGAGTATTTCTATAAGAGTCTCTAGAGTTTACGAAGAATGGTACAATAAAGAAAAAATATCCAGTGAGCTTTAATTCTGTGAATGGAAATACGCTGTTGATGACAGAGGTCAATAGAGAATGGCCAGACTGGTTTGAGCTGACAAAAATTCTAAAATAACTCAGATAACCACTATGTACAACTGTAGTGAGCAGCAAAGCATCTTAGAATGCACAACATGTTGAACGTTGAGGTGGATGGGCTACAACAGCAGAAGACTACATTGGGTTCCATTTCTGTAAGCCAAGAGCAGAAAGCTGAGGCTGCGGTGAGCACAGACTCACCAAAACTAGACAGTTGAAGACTGGAAAAATGTAGCCTGGATTTCTGCTGAGGCAAACAGATGGAATTTGGCACCAACAGTATTAATCCATAGACCCAGCCGCCAGACTGGTGGAGGTGGTGTAATGGTGTGGGGAGTGTTTGAATGATACCCAGCCTATTATAGTACTATTGCTGAACATTTGCATCCCTTCATGGCCACAATTTACCCAACTTCTAATGGCTACTTCCAGCATGAGAATGCACCATGTCACAAAACAAAAGTAATCTCAAACTGGTTTAATGAACATGACAGTTAGGTCAGTGTTCTTCAGTGGCCTTCCCAGATCTGAACGTGAAGCACACCTTGAGGTGTAGGTGGTAGAAGATTCACAGCATGAAAATGCACCTGTAAAATCTGCAGGAATTGCATTACGCAATCATGTCCGCATGGACCTGAATCTCCAAGGTATGTTTTGAGCATCTTGTGGAATCTATGTCATGAAGAACTGAGGCTGTTTTGAGATCAAAGGCAGGCCCTACGCATTATTAGGCTAGTATAGTGTTCCTAGTAAAGAGCTCTGTGAGTACAAGTATTGAGGATATTTTATTAAGTTCATTCTTAATGCCATACTAGAGCTTTAATCGGGCCTGAAAGTTTAGCCCGAATCTGAATACCATCCAAGAATTTTCTACCAAGCTTGACATGAGCCCACACACAGCAAAGTGCAGAATAAAACCAACAGCACCGGTTAATGCACAGTGTCAATATTAGAAATCATTAGAGCACACAAATAAAATATAAACATTGTAAAATAGTATGCTATAATAAAGTAATCACCTATCCAAAAATGTTAAAATTCTGCTTTAACAAACTTATTTTTCAAATAATCCTTTTGAACAGCATCTCATACATTTTTATTCTGGGATAAACCTTCCTTAATGCAATGTTTTCATGAAACAGCAGGGTAGTTTAATACTAAAACTCCATTTCTGCAGATAAAAAAAGTTACATACAAACAAATGAAACGTTCCTTTGGCTGCACTAAAAAGCACTTTCCTGAATCAATTACTGTTTATGTCCTGTTTTCGTATGAGAGTGGGCCTCTTGGACCTCTGTGCTGTGAGGGGGTGACTCCAGCTTAGCAGGTTAAAAACGATTTAAGTTAATGAAAGTAGTCAATAAACAGTAAAACTAAACCAGAGGCAAATCTGATAAAAGTGGAAGGCGGGCTGTGAGAAGCCCAACATTTTGAACTCGACCCGAGCCCGACACTTCTGAGACCGAGCCTGACATGAGCAGTCAGGTCCCATCGAGTTCAGACAAATGTTTCAAGCTCTATGCTATACAGCTTACTCAGTTATTATGGAATCATCTGCAATGCCATTCATCAGCGTGACAACTCTAAAATTCCCAATTATTATTTTTTTTTACAGCTTGCTAGTTTATGAATTATGAATTATATGAAACCTGTGAATTATATGAGTTCTACGAATATATGAAAGCTGTGATATTGCACAGGACCTGCATATTAGAATAGTTTTCTGCATTTTTCCACAGCCAAATTGGTTTTATATTGTTGAAAACATGACTCTCTTTCTCTCTCTCTCTCTCTCTCAGGGCAGTCTGCAGGCGCGGGAGCTGGGTGCAGTAGCGTATGTGGAGTGTTCATCACGCATGTGTGTGAACAGCGTGCGGGACGTCTTTCACATCACCACACTCGCCTCCGTCAGACGGCCCACCCCTGGACTCAAACGCAGCTCCTCCCGCCGAGCCCTCAAACGCATATCCCACCAGCCCCTGCTGCCAATCAACTCTCGAGCCACGCCCCTTGAACCCTCCCCCACTCTCAGGAAGGACAGAGCCAAGAGCTGCATTGTCATGTAGAAAATAAGCCAAAAAACACAAACACGTTCAGCTGTGTTCCGATCTGATCTGCGTAAAATGGGTTTCTCGCAGCTGCTGTCTATTTATGAGACTTTTATGGTCGTATATCATGTCAGATTACGACCAATTAAAACTGTACAGATGTGTGAACACGTTCCACAGAGGACTATTTATTGACCCTTACATTGTTGTTGTCGCTGTTATTATTTTGATGCCGCTAAGTAAACAAAGAGGAAATGAACATAGAAAACAACATGCATGGGACTTCATCTGTGAGAGCTGTTTATCTTGTATTTTTAATTGGTAACACTTTACTGTAGGGCAGTGTTCATCAGGCTACATGACGCCAGGCATAAAGTAAGTAATAGTAAGAAAGTAATATTTATTTTTATTAGTACATTAAAACACCTTACATTGCACCAATGCTTTACACAATTTAGATAATAAAATAATAAATGAAGAAGCAAACGAGTCAAAAAGGAAAGCAAGATTAAGACCAAAGAATATGTAAAAAAGAACATCAGACCAAAAGTAATACCAAAGAAAAGAAAAACAAAACACAAACAACACATAACACTCACATCTAATATACTCAGCTACGTAAAAGGCCAAACAATATACGATCATACGCAAAAATGTGGGTGCCGGGGTCAAATAACATGTTTTGTTGATGTTAACACATCCACCATAGGGAACAAACTTCAGCACATTTGGAGTTGGCCTAAAAGTGCCTTACATGAACATTTATGACTGCTTATTACTATTGGTGTCGTCTGTCACAAAGGCTGCTTCTGTCAACTTTGATGTCAACATTTATGTCAGGTAATTTTTCTGAAAAATTGGCTTGTCATGCCCACTTTTGGGGAAATATCATAGCATGTTTTCACACCTTACTTTGTAGCTTGGTATATATCACAGACATGGAGCTGATGATGTGACATAGCTAAAAGTCCCAGGAAACAGAGTAAAATATAATATATAGTATAGTATCATACAGATACAAGAAGATAAAACACACTGATCGGGAACGAGTGAAGAGACGTGCAGACGGACAGACACACAGACAAAGCAACACGTGAATGAAGGAATGAATGAACGAACAATATTCATGTATGGATAAAGGAATGAATGGTGGCCTAGCATGTTAGCTTTTGGTTATGCTGGATTAGCTTTAGCTCACCAAATTTCTCTGACTCTGAAACTGTTTTGTGTGGGCGGGGCAAGAGATGGCAGCCTTCTGATTGGTCAGGGGAATGCTTACGGAAGAATTACCCAAGATTAGGACCGCCCAGTTTACATTGAGAGGAAAGAAATATGCTCAAATATGTTGGTCATTCATTGGTTACTGGGACATTATTCAAATGGTATTAGTAGTACATTTTTGCTGTAAGAACAAGATTAACCTAATTAGTAAGAAAATACAGATGTAAGCTCCTTAGATCTTTAAATCTTATAAATGGTGAAATGAAAATTACCCAAGGGCCAAAGATATGCTTAATTTAAGCAAGCTTTATGACAAATGATGCCTAGTGGAATATACGTTTATAAATGTTTATGTAGGTTTATGGCAGTTGTCATGAAGGGCTTATGTGGGCGTAGCCTTATGAACATTGCCCTACAGTAAAGTGTTACCGTTTAATTCATATTTCTTTGTAGTTTGCAGACTTTTCTGCCAGAGTGTCCACCTCAGATGTTCCACTGCCACCGCCAGAGAGTTAATTCAGATAAGCTTGCGTCTCCAGAGCCCTCAGAAACTTTTTTATTCACTTCAGTGGCTCTAATGGGAATTGGCAGTCATGGGTGATAGTGCTCCACTTACATGGAATTATGCACTCTGGAAACGACACTGGGTCAGAATGCCAAAAAGGTCATATTTTTTCACTGGTTCACATCATATCACGTAGGAACCAGTGTAGAACTGGCTGATACAGTCAGATAGAGGCAGAATCACACGTCTGTACTGATAACGGCTGATGCCTGGAGAAGCCCATAAGCCTAAACATGGTGCGAGTCGGGATTTAGTAGGTTATTGACTCGTTTCACACTCTAGGCAGGTGAAAAAAGCACATCAAGCTATACAGTTGGCTGTTATTATTCAGCATTCACACTGTTCAGCAATCTCTCCTGGAGGAAAAGAGGGATCACAGCAGGGTTGGCACTATCCATGTATTCCCGTTCAAAATAAAATCTCAATCAAGAGAATCTCAGCACTGTAAATGTTGCATTGGTATTTTGTCTTCATGCATGTGTGATATTTGTGTATGTAAATTCTGTGAGAGAGGCAATTGGAGGCATGGAAACTACTGAGCCTATGTTTATCAGGAACGTGCAGCTGTTTCCCTGGCAACCGCCTCCCGCCTTTGTGATGTCACAACGGAACTGAGAAAAGAATGCTGTTGCCGTGGTTTCCGGCTCTTCCACGGGACGTCTTGTCTTATCTAATGAACACCAGTAAATTAACGTGTGCACACGCGCACACACACACACATGCTGACGCACACACACATGCTGACGCACACACACATGCTGACGCACACACACACATACACACACGTGGCATGGGGTTGGGTGAAGGCAGGAGGTAGATGAGGTTGGCAAGAGCAGTCGTGAACCAACAGAGCACCACGGCTCAGACTGAGAGTAAGAGGATTACTCTCTGTGTGTGTGTGTGTGTGTGTGTGTGTGTGTGTGTGTGTGTGTGTATGAGTGTACTCCATCATGTGCCCTCACACACAGATACATACACACACCTTACACCCCCCACCCTCCCCACCCCTCCAGTGTTCTTGGCTGACGGTGTGGAGTGCGGCTCAAGGAGCCCTTGAACTACACATACACAATCACCACAATCTCTACCAATTTACACACTGTTTAAATTCCAACAACTCTTCAATGTTTCACATTTCTGGATAATTAATTGGTTAAGATGTTAAAAAAGTCATTCCGTGTGGTTTGATGTGAAAAGCTCCAATCTAGAGAAAATTAAAAAGTTGTTGTTCACAGCAGTGGTGATTGGAACCAGAAGGCATATTACAGAAACTTCCTATCTTTTGTCCTAAGTTAAGATCTGAGATCAAGGTAAGATTTTTCACAATTTCATTTCACAGAAGTAAATCTTAATTTAGGGATTATGTCTTACAGCACCTTATCACAAGAAATCTACCCAGTTAAGGTCAGTAATCAATTGTTACGTCTGACCCAACTGATGATACACATACAAACATTAACATAATGAAAAGTAACATTTAAAACATTTAGCTAGACAGCTAGCGTTACAGAAGTAAAAAGGTCAAAACAGAAATGCGATAAACTGGAAGGTAAGAATTTGTGCAGACCCCCAAACCCCCCAGCTGTTTCATGGCTTTTGTTTACCATTTCCAAAGCTTTATTCATGCTAATACACAGCCACACATTCAACTCCCCCTTGATGTTTTCATCAGCCTTAACACACAAAGGCCCTATGAAAAAAGAAAAAAAAAATCACTCTCATAAGTGAACCCACAGTTTTGCAATATCGTTTGGCAAAAATATAATGTCGTTATGCTAGATAGAGTGAACCTGTTATGCTGCCTAAAAATGATAGAAAAAGAAAGTTAAAACAAAAGTTAGGACACTGTTGAGGTTAAAATGAGGACAGTATGTAGGAAATTTTGTCTAGTTAGGATATTTCTGTAATACTGTTTTCTTATCTGGAGTTAGAATAATATTATGAACTTAAGAACTGTAGTTCTGTAATAGCTTCTGTTCTAAATTCAGTCCTAACTGAAGTTGTCATGGTGAAGACTTCAGAGTTAAGACGTTTCTGTAACACCCTTTTACCACTACTGTAAAGAATTCAGTCTGTAAGTGACTCTAAATTGAACCATTTCAGATCAAACAACTCTGAATAACTGTTTGCATCTCTGTTTTATCTGACAAGATAAAAACTGTTTAAATGAAACCGGGGTTTGCAACCTAAAAAAATGTAACGTCATTATGCTAGTAGTGATGCTTTGTGGCCTAAAAACAAAATAAACGGATGGTTAAAACAGAAATCACGACACCACTGGGGTTGTCTTAAATTAGGACAGACATTTTGTCAAAATAGGATGTTTCTGTAATACTGTTTTCTTAAGTTCATAATATTACTGTTATACTGTTATAATATTACTGTAATACTGTTTTCTTAGGTTCATAATATCAGAATAAAATCATGTAGTTCTGTAATAGCTTCTGTTCTAAATTCAGCCCTAACTGAAGTTGTCATGGTGAAGACTTCAGAGTTAAGACGTTTCTGTAACACGGCCCCTGGTCCCTTTTACCACTACTGTGAAGAAATCAAAGTCTGTAAGTGTCTCTAAATTGAATCATTTCAGATCAAACAACTCTGAATGACTGTTTGCATCTCAATGACTGAATTAGGAATAAATAAAAAAATCCCCTTTAAGCTGAAACAGACCCACACATTCTACTCACACCTGTACACACCCTGAGAGTGTGAGACTTCTTCTTTCACACATACACTTTGCTTCAACGATCTCGTCACAGTTTTCAACTAAAAATTCTCTCTCAGTGAACATCATACACAGAATTTGTTTTCATTCATGCTACCAGACCTGCATGATATATGAAATAACCATGCTGTGACTCCGTGGCAACAGTGCAAAAGTCAGACACCACTCTTTGTTTATTATTATTCCAGTCAACGCTCATTAGGTACAAGTTATTAATTTTTCAGTGTCAGAAAAAAGAAGGAAACATATTTAACTAAAGAAGACACAAAAGCCTCCAATGCTAAGTATAATATAAACACATTCTTTACTTTTATGCACCTACTACCACTCTTCCAATCATAAACTAACCAGTCACAGTCCTCCCAATAATGTTAAGTGACCCTTATTAGTCCCACTTGCATAAGGAAGACAATCAAAGGAAAAAAGTCAAAAAACAGGAGTTTCTAAATCTAGAGTTCAATAAATCACTGCTGTCGGAAACAAAACCCTGTACCTCCATTTTTGTTGTTTTTCAGTTTTTGACATAATTTGAAATGAGACTGTTGCCCTTTACATTGGGTGTAAATTTCATGCTGAATGTACCAAACAACACAGCCCAAAATGACTGGGGAAAAAAGTCTGGTTCCACTGACTTAAATTAAAAGTATGTTTTTTCCTTCTCTTGTTAAGTTACCATTTTGGAGATACAGGGTTTTCTTCCGACAGCAGCGAAACGATTAAAAGATACCGAAAAAATGGGAGTCCTACCAACCATGCAAGACCTGGCAGACCACCAAAACTGCCACCATCAGATAAACAGCACTTAAAGCTTTTATCTTTGAGACAGAGGAGAAAATCAAGCTCTTACTTCACATCTGAAAAAATCCCACAGGCGTTTCTGTCTATACTTCTATTTCGCACCACAACACCAAAACTGGGCATCTGAGATGTAAAGTGGAGGTTTTATGGACTGCTCTAAATTTGTAATTGGGATTATCTGGACTGTGGAAAGTGTAAAATGCAACCAACTTCTAAGACTGCTTTGGAGGTGTTTGTAAAAAGTATGGGAAAACATCCCTGCAGCTGTCTTTGGATAAATGAAAGCGAGTTTCCTGGCTAAGCATATCGGGTTCAGAATATTTTTGTTTACCATAAAAGCGCAATAGCAGCGATTTTCAAAAAGTACATTCATTTTTCCCCTATAGAGCATGAAGCCTTAACTCACACAGTTAGACATGAGAACATGTGTTCTGACAGATTCAAACAGAGCGTCCACATCATCTGCAGCTACATCAGAGTTTCAACCTGAAGGACAAACATAAACATGACTCTGCGCTCCTACACAACACTGAGTTGAGCCGATGGGACATTTGCGCTTCTTAAAACAGATGTATTTTTAAAAGCTTGCATGTTGAGTCCAAGTACATTATCCGTGAAGCACGTTCTCTGTGTTTAAATCTCTCTCAGGTGCACTCACACTTTCTTTCTCAAGGTAAATGAGAAATTGATGTTGCCAAGGAAACTTTCAAACGGTAGGTAAGCTGTGCGTGATTGTGTGTGTGTGTGCACCGATTCTGGAGTTCAAGCACTGAAGAGTGACGGAGATTTTTACTGCATCTTTTCATGAGTGTATTTTTAGTATGCAAAGCTGTTTTTTCCCCAACATGGTCAAGTCTGAACGTCGCGTAAATGAACAAGAAATGTGTTTTTAAGACTAGGCTCCTCATAGTCTGTAAACAAGGACACTGGTCTTCACATATGCTCTCTCTCTGACAGTAACAGAGCCCCATAGTCTGAGAGAGCGGTCATCAGAAGGACAGCTTCCAGGGCTCAACTTATTTTTGAAAATATAACCACAGGAAAGTAACTGTAAAAGCTATTAAACAAAAGAATTCCAACCAAAATATGCCATAGTTTTAATGCTTGATCTGAAACAGATAGATAACTCTTGATAAGATAACTCGTTAGGTATACCCAGCCGTAGTCAGCTATTTCTACTGGATTTGATAGTGACATGCAGGTATCAATATAATGTAATAATGTATCACATAAATGTATAATGTAATATATAATCACATATCTGACAAAAATGATTTTTAATTTGAGTTTTAATACACAGAACTGAGTAAAAGTTCACTGCATAATTGAGGACATTCTAATACACTTACGGTGAAAAAAAGCTTAATGTGGCTTAATGTACTAAGGCTGTTGTTTTAGTACATTAAGCCACGTTAAGCCTTTTCCTTATAATGAGTTTAAATGGGAAGAAAAAAGCTTAACGTAAAAATGATTACTTTCTTTATGGATCACGGGTTCACCCTTCCAGTGGTAGAGAGAACTTATGACCAGTCATAAGTGCGTGAGGTTTGGTGTTCCTAACGGACGTAACGGACATGAAACGAGTGTAAAGAGCACAATTAATGAAAAAGACTTACAATTAAGCATCTCTTTCACACCTCCTGCCGCACGTCCTGCTCACACCTTGCATATAATATAGCTAAATTCTCACCTCATATCTGTCAGCTGCTGGCTCTCGCATACTTTCTTCTTTTTCGACCTTATCATGAAAAAACAAGTTGATAGTGCTAGTAGCAAAATTACCAAGATAAGATGATAAGTAGGCACTTAACCACCAGTTTAAAACTTTCCTCAAATATCATTTACACCTCTTCCAGTTGTTAAATGAACAGGAAAGTTGAGGAAAAGATTTTAGTTATTAGTGTTGAAAACTATGCTAAAGTCAAT